TCTGCTCCTATGATGCTGCTTGGCCTGCTGTGTTCATCCAGCCCTGCACCTTGTTGTCTCGGATTCTCCAGCATCTGCAGTTCCTACTATCTCACATAATTATGAGTTCTTTTTTGGCAGCAATAGTCTTACCAATGTGTCCTCCATGACATGCCCAATAGAGAGCAGTGTTTCCAGCTTTGTCAAGAGAATTCACTGCAACTCTGTTGTCTAAACATTCTTTCAACCAGCTTTCGTTCCCTGAAAAATTCAAACGTCAACATGAGTAGGATTTTTTTTATCTAAAAAAGCTGAACAGTAAAAATAGAATGCAAGAAATCAGCCATCAGTTTGACAGAAGGTCCACAGTATATCCTCTCAGGTATTGGAAAGTGCAAGATTAAAAGTTGGGATAAGGCTTAGCTTAAATGAATAAGCATTTTAAAGCTCTATGGAAAATCTGTTCGGCCAGAGCAAAGAAACTGCTAAGCTAGTCTGAGATAACAAGGTGTAGAGATGGATGAACACAGGAGGCCAAGCAGCATCAGAGGAGCAGGAAGGCTGACGTTTCGGGCCTAGACCCTTCTTGATGAGTCCCCATTTGTTTGAATATATTGTGTCTCCTAGTTCATTAAACTAGATTTTATAACAACTTCACAGCTATAAATTAAACTCCAAAGCAAAGGAGGAAGGTTGAAAAGAACAAGAATGAAACAAGGATCGGAAAAGGCTCTAGAGGGATACAAGTTAGCCAGGAAGGAACTGAAGAAAGGGCTTATGAGAGCTATACGGGGGCATAAGAAAACCTTGGCAGGTAAGATCAAGGAAAACCCCAAGGCTTTTTACACGTACGTGGGGAATAAGAGAATGACCAGAGAAAGGGTAGGGCCATTCAAGAATTGTAAAGGGAATTTGTGTACGGAGCCTAAAGAGATAGGAGAGGTCCTTAATGAATACTTTTCTTTGATATTCACAACTGAGAGGGACCTCGTTGTAGGGGAGGACAGTGTGAAACAGGCTGTTAGGTTGGAGGAGGTGGATGTAAGTAAGGAAGATGTACTCGGAATTTTGAGGAACTTGAAGATAGACAAGTCCCCCGGGCCTGATGGGATTTATCCAAGGATTCTATGGGAAGCAAGGGAAGAGATTGCAGGACCTTCAGCATTGATCTTTTCATCCTCACTGTCCATGGGTATAGTGCCGGAAGACTGGAGAGTGGCAAACGTCATTCCCTTGTTCAAAAAGGGGAATAGGGATAACCCCGGAAATTATAGGCCAGTTAGTCTTACTTCAGTGGTGGGCAAATTATTGGAAAGGGCTCTGAGAGATAGGATTTATGATCACTAGGATAGGCATAGTTTGATTTGTGATAGTCAGCATGGATTTGTAAGGGGTAGATCATGCCTCACAAACCTTATTGAATTCTTTGAAGAGGTGACCAAACACGTGGATGAAGGTAGAGCAGTGGATGTGGTATACATGGATTTAAGTAAGGCGTTTGCTACGGTTCCCCATGGTAGGCTCATTCAGAAAGTAAGGAGGCATGGGATAGGGGGAAATGTGGCAGATTGGATTCAGAATTGGCTGACCCTTAGAAGACAAAAGGGTGGTAGTGGAGGAAAATATTCAACATGGTGCTCAGTTACGAGTGGTGTACCACAAGGATCTGTTCTGGGTCCTCTTCTACTTGTGATTTTTGTAAACAATTTGGATGTAGGAGTGGAAGGGTGGATTAGTAAGTTCGCGGATGATACGAAGGTGGGTCGAGTTGTGGATAGTGTGGAGGGCTGTTCTAGGTTACAAAGGGACATTGATAGGATGCACAGCTGGGCTGAGAAGTGGCAGATGGAGTTTAACGCTGAAAAGAGAGAGGTGATTCATTTTGGAAGGACAAACTTGAAAGCAGAATACAGGGTTAACGGAAAGATTCTTGGCCAGTGTGGAGGAGCAGAGGGATCTTGGAGTTCATGTCCACAGTTCCCTGAAAGCTGCCACACAGGTGGATAGAGTTGTTAAGAAGGCATATGGTGCGTTAGCTTTCATTAATAGAGGGATCGAGCTCAAGAGCCATGAAGTTATGCTCCAGCTACACAAAAGCCTGGTTCGGCCACATCTGGAGTATTGTGTCCAGTTCTGGTTGCCTCATTACAGGAAAGATGTGGAAGCATTGGAAAAGGTGCAGAGGAGATTTACCAGGATGTTGCCTGGAATGGAGGGAAAGTCTTACGAGGAAAGGTTGAGAGAGCTAGGACTTTTCTCTTTAGAACGATGAAGGATGAGAGGTGACTTGATAGAGACGTACAAAATGATCAGAGGTATAGATAGAGTGGACAGCCAGAGACTTTTTCCTAGGGTGGAGGTAGCTATGAGGGGGCATAGTTCTAAAGTGAGTGGAGGTAGATATCGGGGAGACGTCAGAAGTAGGTTCTTTACTCAGAGTTGTAGGGGAGTGGAATCGGCCTCGTTAGGGTCATTTAAGCTGCTATTAGATATGCATTTGAATGATAGTATAAGGAAGGGATGGAGGTTAGATAGACCTTACGTTTAGGGTAAAAGTTCAGCACAACATCGTGGGCCGAAGGGCCTGTACTGTGCTGTACAGTTCTATGTTCTATGATATGGGGAATTAAACAGGAGAATTTGCAGACTTTTCTGTGGCTGCAGACATGATTGGCTCTGAAAGGCAGAGCATTGCAAGGTCATGTCACACATAATTCAAAGCTCTTCCAAGTGCACCTTCCAAACCATTGACATCTACCAGCAAGAAGCACAAGGCTAACAAATGCAAGCCAGTCAATTTGCAAGTACCCCTCCAAGCCATACACCATCCTAACTTGGAACAATACCACCATTCCTTCACTATTGCTGGGTCAAAATCTGGGAACTCCCCTCCTAACTGCAATGTGGGTCTATCTACACCACATGGGCAGCAAAGGTTTCAGGCAACAGTGCACCACCACCTTCACAATGGTAATGCAGGACAGGCAATAATGCCAGCTTACATTGTGACACCACATCCCATGAAAAAACAAACTGATGCCAGTAATCAAGGGAGAAAGAGGAACACAGACCTCGAGGTATATTTTCAGTAGCTGGAGAGGATACGGCTAGCAGGGCCTCAAAACGTGTAATCTCTGGATTTCTCCTGGTACAACATGCAATGAAAAGTAATAACTAGATAATACATTCTACCAATGTATAGGTAGATAAACAGCATGGGAGGGAGTACTTTCTTTTTACACAGAGTTTGTGGGCTTCATTGGTTTAGTCACTTTGCCTATCCATTGCTACCGATATGAATGTGGTGGTGAGCCACTTTCTTGAGCTGCTGCTGTCCATCTATGTTCCAAGGATATTGGGATTGATTCTGGGACAGGCGAGACCTGTACAGGCCAGAGTGCACCTCAAAAGAATCAGCATCCTGACTGAATTGTTTGCTCATGCTGGTGGGATGGATTTAATTTAGGGGTTTGGGAGTCAGGACATAATATTTAAGAAAAGGGGAAAAATGTAGTGCCCAAATGATTTGTAAAAAAACACACTACAATAGAGTAAGAAACAGGTAGTGGGATCAGACAAAGAAGGAATATAATAAACTCCAAATTAGGTTCAGAATGTATTTTGTAAATATACAAAAAGTGTGGTAAATAAGCCTGGTGAGCTGCAACAGCCACAAAAACAGACAGAGGGACTGTGTCTGCAGCATAACTAGGAACTTTACAAAGACTCAGTTTAACTCCCCTGCTTTTGCATTCAATACCTTGATTTAAAGTTGCCCAAGATTCAATAGGCTTTGCTAATTTCTCAATCATCTTGCAATCTTCAATGCCCAACCTCACATGCAACTCCAGGTCCCACTCACCTTAAATAGAACTGTGCCAGTTAGTCTATATCGCCTCTTCCTGTCTCTTTTGCCATGACACAGAATAAGAGATGATAGAATAGATGCATGATCACTGGCCTAGTAATTCAGAGTTCCAAGCCAACACTTTGGGAACACTTGTTTAAATGCCGCTATGGGACCTGCTAATCTAAGATTGCATAGTCTCAGTAATGACGGCAATAAATTGCCAAATGGACTGCTCTGCTCCTAGTTCATGGCGTAAATAACTTTGGAGAGCAAAATGTGCCATCCTTACTAGGTCAGCTTACAGGCAAATCCAAAACCATAGTGGGCCCTTTGCTTAACTTTCTTCTGAAACGGACAAGGAAACCACTTCAGAAAGGAGATGAAGGCTTCAGAGAAGTAACAGAAAAACAACAATTGTTCCAGGAATGAAGGACTTCAGTTGCACAGCTAATTCAGATAAACTGGGGTTGTTTTTCCTTAGAGAAGTTTGAGAGAAAATTAAATAGTAGTTATCAATATCATGAGAAGTCCTAACAGTGTATAGATAGAGAGAAACTGCTCCCATTAGAAGGCATTCATCCTTTGAATGCAGATTCTGGTGGAGCAGAAAGTGAGGAAAAAGGGAAACCTATCATTGTTCTGGGAAAGAAGGGAAAGGGCGAGGGCAGAAGTCAGACTTGGCTGAGGGCTCTGGCAACCCCTGATAGGAGTTTGAAGAAAATTGTCATGTCAGAAGCATCCCCATGGAAGGTGGCATCATTAGATTAGATGCAACAAAGGTGGTGAAACTGGTACAATGGAATGGAGCCCTTATAGGAAGCAGGGTGTGAAGAAGTGTAGATGATTGTGGAAGTTAGTGGGTTTGTAATGTCCATTCTAATCCCACTTTCCAGGACCTTGTCCATAGCCTTGCAGGTTCCAGCACTTCACATGCAGATCTGGATTCTTTTCTAAAATGCATTAAGGGTTTCCATCTCAAACATCAAATTGGGCACAGAATCCCAGACACTCATCACCCATTGGGTGAGAAAGCTTTTCCGCATGTCCATTCAAATCCTTTTACCAAAAACCTTAAATTTGTGTCTCAGTAGCTGACCTCTCCATTAAAGAAAATGGGGCTTCCCTCTCTACTCTGTCCAAGTTTAGGATACAATTCATCTGATCAGTTATCCATTTTCAAGAAGGCCAGCGTCTACAGTACTTCTGTTCTCATTATGCATAATTTATCCGTGATTTCCTCTTTAACTGGAACTTCTGTATCATCCCTCAATTTTGCAAAGATAAACACAAAATATTCACCAAGAAACCAGCCCTCACCATCTGGGTCTACGCACAAGTGTTCATGTGCAATTCTAATAGGCTCAATACTTTCCTTAAAAAGACAAAAATGTGGAGAAACTCAGCAGGTCTGGCAGCACCTGTGGAGAGAAACAGGATTTTAATGGTTGGCGTAAAAAGAAGATAGGTCATATTTACTGACAGCCTGTTCCGCTATTCAATATGATCATTAAAGGTTGTAATTGAATCTAGTAGATATATCAGCTTTTATTTGTAATTTATTTTCATAAATGCTCACCACGTTTGGCAGCTTCATGCAATGGGTTGTCAATTGATTCCACGTGCTCAGCCACTGTGGAAATGAGTTAGAAATTAATTTCAGCATGTCGGAAAAACTGCATGTCAGATCAATTATTCAGAAAATTATAATCACTGGACAGTAAATTCTCAAAGAAAACAGAATCAAGGAGCATTCAGCATGTTAATCAGAGGCAAACATTTCAACATCTGTTTGGGTTTCACTTTAAAATAATCTCCTACCCGCCCAAAAGTTTTTCAACATCCCTTTCTTTTTGGACTTATAATACAGTATGCTAACAGTAATTAAACATGTTCACCTCTCCCCTTCTCCCACCCTTCCACCACTCGTCTAGCATATATTCATGTTTTAACTAGCTACTAACAGTTCTGATGAAGAGTCACCAAACTTAAAACTTTAACTGAGTTTTCCCCCCACAGACCTGATGAGCTTCTCCAACAATTTCTCTTTTTGTTTCTCAAAGAGTCAGAGGGTCATACAGCATGGAAAGAGACCTTTTGGTCCAATAGGCCCATGCTGACCGCATTCCTAAACTAAACTAGTCCCATATCCCTCGAAACTTTCCTATTCATGTACTTATCTACAAGACTTTTCAATATTGCAACTGTATCTGCATTGATTGATTTATTGTAACGTGTACTTAAGTACAGTGAAAAAGCTTTGTTTATGAGCAGTACAGGCAGATCATAGTAAGCAAGGACATACAGATCAGAGTGGAAAAAAACTAAACAGAGGCATAGAAGTTATGTCGCACATTAGCAAGATCAGCTTTATTTGAAGCTACAGAATCCATGCATCAGTCTAATAATGGCAGAGAAGAAGCTGTTCTTGAACCTGCGGGTGCACGTGTTCAAACTTCTGTATCTTCTGCCTGAAGGAAGAGGTTATAGGAGAGCATTGCCAGGGTGCAATGTGTCCTCAAGGGTGTTGGCAGCCTTTCCGTGGCATGGGCTGTGTAGATGCATCCACCACGTCCTTCAGCATTTCATTACACACAGGAACCAGTGTGTAAAAAAGTAGCCCTACTTCTCCTCTCACCTTAAAAATTTCCCCCAAGGTTTGATCTCCCGTACCCTAGGCGAAAGGCCCTTGTCATTCAGCTTATGTATGTCCCTCGTGATTTTACAAACCTCTAAGGTCACCCCTCAACCTCACTCCAGTGAAAAACATGCCAGCCTATCTTTATAACTCAAACCCTCCATTCCTCGCAACATCTTGTTAAATCTTTTCTAAACCCTCTCCAACTTAATGATATCCTTCCTATAGCAAAGCCACCAGAACTGCACACAATACTCCAGAAGGGGCCTCACCAATTTCCTATACAACCTCAACATGACATCCCAACTTGTATACTCAATGGTCTAAGCAAAGAAGGCAAGTGTGCGAAACACTTTCTTAATCACCTTGTCTACATGCGATGCAAATGTCAAAAATGTACCTGAACCCTTGGTCTCTCTATTCTACAACATTACCCAGGCCCTTACCATTAATTGTACAAGTTGTGCCCATGTTTGTTTTAACAAAATGCCATACCTCACTTTTATCCAAGTTAAACTCCAATCTGCTATCCCTCAGCTCATTGTTTCAATTGATCAAGATCTTTTCTTGAATCTTAGATAACCTTCTTCACTGTCCACTATTCCACCAATTGTGTGGGGGGTCATCTAAAATCCAAGATCTCCAGCATCAGTAGGTTAATTTGGAAACCCATGGGAGGAAGAATATTTGAATATAACTGTAATATAAATGGAGATTTTCAGAGACTATCTCAGAATGCTTAGACCTTGACTCTGAGTCTCAGCCTTAAGATAGAGGTGGTATTAATTCGGGAAGCTAGAGTCAACAATTGTGCCTATATCAAATGCTTTATTACAAAATGCACCTGTTATTGTCAGCCAAACAGTAAAAGTAACTGAGAAAAGATTAGCACTATACTTGCCGTAGTTACTTGGAATCAATCCTGTTCGGCCTTTGCATGTTCCTTTCCACCAATTGGGATCACTCTTAACATGAGAAAGAAATTATGTAAAATAACTGATCAATAAATCCAGAAATTTATAGTTAAACACAAAGATATACCATTGATCAAGAACTTACAATATCTGAAATGTAAAGCACGTCGCCTTCATCAAAGTATAATTCATCTGGCTAAAGACAAAAAAAGTACAGTTAAGCAGTTCAGTCCAAGTTAAAAATCATTTCTAATTACCAAGTTTGAATGGGTGCAAGATTCCTTCTCTCATCCCTATCCTTCACTACTCTCCAATTTAACCATTGTGATAATTATGTTAGCCTCAGGCTATATTCAGAAAAGAGTCACCACTGTTTCTTTAGTCAAAGAATAACTGGTTTAAACCAATCTATAAAACTTGCTCAAAGATACAATAATGATTGACAAGCAATGTGGACTATGCAAACGCATAGCTACCTTTCCAAAAAACAAACATATGTTTGAGGTAAAACAAAGAAAACTGACAAATGTGCAAAGTATTTTGACTGAGCAATAGTTAAACTCAATCCAAATGGTATTCTGTACTCCAGGTTATTCTGCACACAAGTCATTGGCACAGGGGTATCTTCCTGGAACAGGTGTAACTGGCTGAAGTCTCTTTGCTGAACATAGAAGTAGATTCCAAAATTCATTTCCAGGAAACTTCCATGAGTAATAAGAGTGGCAAAAATCGCAAGATTTCATCTCACACATTTTGATGAGACAAGTTGCAAAGGATCGAGGGTACCAAAAGCTGTTGCTCTTTAGATAAGATCTCTCACTCAGCTCAAAACACCATGATGTTATTTTTTTTAAACCCAGCTCTGTTACCTTTATCTGAAAGCCTTGTAGACTGGAGAAACTCAGCATGTTTGGCAGCATCTATGAATCTTATTCTTCCTCAGTCCTGAAGGGGAGACGATGGCCTTAGTAGTATTATTGCTGGCCTATTAATCCAGAGACCCAGATAACATTCTGGAGACCGAGGCTCAAATCCCACCACAGCAGATGGTGGAATTTGAATTCAGTACATATCTGGAATTAAGAATGATAACCGTGAATCCACTGTCGATTTTTGGAAAAACCCATTTGGTTCACTAACGTCCTTTAGGGAAGGAAACTGCCATCCTTACCTGGTCTGTTCTCCATGTGACTTCAGTCCCACAGCAATGTGGTTGACTCTTAACTACCCTCTGGGCAATTAGGGATGGGCAATAAATGCCACCTGGCCAGCAACACGCTCATCCCATTAATGAATAAAGGGAAAAGGACTCAAAACTTTCACTAGTTTCTCTCCATAGATGCTGCCAGAGCTGATTTTTCCAAAGTACTGCTTTTGCCTTGTCGACTGGATGTCTTAATTTGAACCCCAACTTGTGCAGATGCAATATTGTTATTGTCCCGAGCGTGTTTTTTTTAACCCATTTATAAAACATTTTCAAAAAGTTCTAGATAATACATATCAGAAGCATTGAATTCATGCATTGTGACCGTCTTTAATAATTTCATAGAAATATACAGAAATTACAACATAAAACAAACTCATCCCAATCCGTGTTGATATATGTAAATACTTTGTAATTACCTATCCTATTGGAAACAATTTCTGATAAACCCAAGAGACATTAAACTACACAATCGAAACCTGCACACAGGAGGCCAAGGATTACTAGTCATGCATATTCAAATGGTCCATCAGCCTGAGAAAGGAAAATATAAAATTTACAATTGTGTTGATTGATATGAGTCAGGATACAACAAAAAAAAAAGTACTGTGGATGAAAAATTGTAACTGACAGATTTTAGACCAAGAGTTTCCAAATTTGAGCTGTAGAATGATTGAGAGTTTGTACTGACAAATTAAAACAATAGACCGTACTTTTAGCTGCAGCTATTCAACAGCAAACCTAACAGCTAAATTAGGCTCTTTCTACAGCCAGATCTGTCCAGTACCTAAAGCACGTCACCCCAAAAAAGCTGCAATATGCTACAAATTAATATTTTCTGTTACAACTACAAGAGTTTTCACTTGCAAAGATGTACAAGTCTAATGCATTCATCACATTTTGGAATTTTTTGATTGTACTTTTTCTTTACAAAAAGGATTTTGGAATTTAAAAAGTTTGATTTAAAATAAAACGTGAGCTTACACAAAATGAAAACCACAAGCGCTGTGCATTAGAGCCAAACAAGCCATGCTAAAGGAATCCATTGCCTCATTTCAGACCCATTAGCCAAGATCATCAAAAGACGGTGAAGAACTCAGCAACGTATGGCCAATTTTCACATCCACAGAAATCATGACAATTCTATTCACGTGGATGTGGTTCGCTTAGTGAAAACAATCCTGGAGGACACAATTTGCACAACAGGTCACCTGTTGAATTTCTGCACAAAATTGTATCATAGACTTGCCCCTCTACTTTTGAATCTAAGAATTGACAAGGAAAAGATGAAACAGATAGAATTTAAACAAGAGACTGCAAAGTGTGAACTGTATTCTAGGGCTGGTAGTTAACATCTTTGCATTCATATTTTGCTTTCTGAAATAATCAGAAAGAAACCTGCTGCCAAACAGGTCAGTCAGGGCATAAAAAGTTTGTTGGGCCAAGGGTCTATTTCCATGCTGTATGACTCTGATATTTCCTTTAAATGTGGGGACAAGTAGAAGTCTGTAAAGTAAGTGTAATTTGTTTTGACTGTTTTACTAATTTGCTGTCTGAGAAAGAAAATACTTGGTAAAAAAAAAATCACTTTGTCTTGTAAAAGTTTTCCACACCTAGTTCAAGCCCAAACACTTCCTCAGTATTTCTCTCCCTACTTCCACCTCCCACCAAAAAAAAGCACACAGACACCGCTGTGAGGACCAGAAGCAAAGGGAAAGGGAGAGATCCAGGGGGCATCCTGGGGAGGTGAGTGAGGGAAGACCTACCTCAGGGTAATGCAGTGATAAGTAAGGGTAAGTGTTTAATAAATTTTCTTAAACAGCTTGATTGGGGATAGAAATGTCAGAGGGGTTAAGTGCTGCACTTTGAGATGTGGGAGATCCGCGACGCTTTCAGCGTCTTGGATGACTATATCTGCAGGGAGTGCACCCAACTGCAGCTCCTCACAGACCGCATGGATACGCTGGAGCAGCAAATGGATGCACTTAGGAGCACGAGGGTGGCAGAAAGCATCATAGACAATAGTTTTAGAGATGTGGTGACACCCAAGGTGAAGACAGACAGATGGGTGACTGCGAGAAGGGGCAGGCAGCCAGTGCAGGAATCCCCTGTGGTTGTCCCCCTCTCTAACTAATATACCATTCTGGATACTGTTGTGGGCGAAGACCTATGAGGGGGTAACAGCAGCAGCAGCCAGACTGGTGGCACCATGGCTGCCTCTGATCTTAAGAAGGGAAGGACAAAGAGCACTAGAGCAGCAGTTATAGGGGACTCTATAGTTAGGGGTGCAGATAGGCGCTTCTGTGGACGTAAAAGAGACTTCAGAGATGGTATGTTGCCTCTCTGGTGCCAGGGTCCAGGATGTCTCTGAACGGGCAGAAAGCATTCTGAAGGGAGAGGGTGAACAGCCAGGGGTTGTGTACATATTGGTACTAACGACATAGGTAGGACGAGGTCCTGCTGCAGCAGCTCAGGGAGTTAGGTAGAAAGTTAAAAAGCAGGACCTCCAAGGTTGTAATCTCGGGATTACTCCCTGTGCCATGTGCCAGTGAGGCTAGAAATAGGAGGATAGTACAGCTCAACACATGGCTAAACAGATGGTGTAGGAGGGAGGGTTTCAGATATCTGGGCCATTGGGATCTCTTCCAGGGCAGGTGGGACCTGTACAAGGAAGACAGGTTGTATCTAAACTGGAGGGGCACAAATATTCTGGCCGGAAGGTTTGATAGTGTCACTCCGGAAGATTTAAACTAGCTTGGCAGGGTGTTGGAAACCAATGCAAAGGTAAATGGACTGAAAGGGAACTAGAGAATACGGCCAGTAAGACTCAGAGGAAGAGCAGGCAGGGTGTGGTTTGCTGATCAAAGCAGATCTGGTGGACTGAAGCGCATCTGTTTCAGTGCAAGAAGTGTAACAGATAAGGCAGATGAACTTAGAGCTTGGATTAGTACTTGGAACTATGTTGTTGCTATTACAGAGACTTGGTTAAGGGAGGGACGGGATTGGCAGCTTAATGTTCCAGGATACAGATGTTTCAGGCTGGATAGAGGGGGATATAAATGGGGTGGGGGAGTTGCACTGCTTATTGAGGAGAACATCACAGCTGTACTGCGGGAGGACACCTCGGATGGCTCATACAGCGAGGTAATATGGGTAGAGCTCAGGAATAGGAAGGGTGCAATCACAATGTTTGGGGTTTGCTATAGGCCTCAATAGCCAGCAGATGGCAGAACAGATACGTAGGCAGATTTTGGCAACATGTAAAAGTAACAGGGTTGTTGTTGTGGGTGATTTTTAACTTCCCATATATTGACTGGGACTCACTGAGTGCTTGGGGCTCGGATGGGGCAGAGTTTGTAAGGAGCATCCAGGAGGGCTTCTTGAAACAGTACGTAAGAAATTCCAACTAGGAAATGGGCCATACTGGACCTAGTAATGGGGAATGAGCTTGCACAGGTGGTCGACGTCTCAATAGGCGAGTAGCTTGGGAACAGCGAGCACAATTCAGTAAGCTTTAAAGGTACTGATGGATAAAGATAGGTGTAGTTGTCAGGTGAAGGTGCTAAATTGGGGGAAAGCTAATTACAATATTAGGCAGGAACTAAAGAATGTAGATTGGAGGCAGATGTTTGAGGGCAAATCAACATATGGTATGTGGGAGGCTTTCAAGTGTAAGTTGCTGGGAACTCAGGACTGGCACGTTCCTGAAAGGATGAAGAATAGGTATGGCAAGTTTAGGAAACCTTGGATAACGAGAGATATTGTGAGCTGAAATCAAAAAGAAAACGGAAGCATTTATCAAGGCTAGGAGGCTGGGAACACACGAAGCAAGGGTGGAATGCAAGGAAAGTCGAAAGAAACCTAAGCAAGGAGTCAGGAGGGCTAAAAAGGAGTCATGAAAAGTCACTAGCCAACAGGATTAAGGAAAATTATATAAAGAGCCAGGCAGAGGGTTGGCCCACTCAAGGACAAGGAAAGGAATTTCTGTGTGGAGCCAGAGGAAATGGGTGAGGTATTAAATGAGTACTTTGCGTCAGTATTCACCATAGAGAAGGACTTGGTGGATGATGAGTCTGGGGAAGGGTGTGTAGATAGTTCGGGTCATGTTCAGATCAAAAGGGAGGTATTGGGGGTCTTGAAAAACATCAAAGGTAGACAAGTCCCCAGGGCCTGATAGGATATACTCCAGAATACTGAGAGAGGCAAGGGAAGAAATTGCTGGGGCCTCGAGGCAAATCTTTGTATCCTCACTGGCTACAGGGGAGGTCCCAGAGGATTGGCAAATAGCCAATGTTGTTCCTTTGTTTAAGAGTGGCAGGGATAATCCAACTAATTACAGGCTGGTGAGCTTTAAGTCAGTGGTAGGGAAATTATTGGAGAGGATTTTTTGAGACAGGATTTACTCCCACCTGGAAATCAATGGGCATATTAACAAGAAGCAACATGGTTGAGAAGGGGAGGTCGTGTCTCACTACCTTGGTCGAGTT